CATCCGGGTGTTTACCTTCCTGGGAAGGGTTACGCGGCCTGGTCCGGTGGGCCGCAAGCGCCTCAGCAATGGAGCGCTGGACCGCAGGCTGCCGCGGTCGCGAGCCCCGGTCTCTCGCCCTGGAATCCCGGCAGATCGGTACCGAATCTTCCTCCCCTGCACTCGTCCCTGCACGCCGCGGCCGCGGCCGCGGCAGCTGTTGGATTGCAAGGAAGGAAACCGAGTCCCACGTTTCCCGGCCATCCGGGGCCGGCGGCTCATCCCTCTTGCATCAGCCCTGTTAAATTTCGAAGGAGCACCTCGTATCCCGGCAAGGGTAACATGTATCCGCCCCAACCCGCGCCCACCTTCGAAGTCACCACAGCCGAAGAGAGGGATTTGTTACAGCTGCCACCGTTTCAGCAGGTTAGACCATCGTTTATGTTATTATTATTATTATTATTATTAATCTTCTTTATTCGTTTATTCTTATTAAAGACGACGTGTAAAATTTTAATTGTCTCGTGTACGAAATGAAAACTCGTCGATTCGAGTACAAAGCGAATATCCGGTGCGCGGATTGTCTCTTTCTCCGCCGTCTTTTTTTACACCGACTTTTTTTTATTCCGTTATCGATCGTTCACCACCTACGAGAAAGGTTACGCTGCGGAGGTATAGGCGATATATGGTTGGGTCGAAAAAGTATATACCGGTAGCCTTAGCTTCCGCAGTTTCGTTTGGTGTACGCATTCGATGCCAGGTTATGCAACCGCTTCGAGACATGCATTTAAATTTAGACGGTACAACCGCTGTTTCAACGATTGCTTACTGTAAACGGTGTGACACGCTCGTTCTTAAACTCGTACTGCCGTCTCACGACATTTGGAAAAACTCGCCGTAACGTGATATATTTTCGATTGCACACGCATCCCTCGTATCGATCGATAACGAACGCTAGCTCGAAACGTAATTGAAACCTAACCTACACCCACTTTCGGCCGCCTAAAACCTCGATTTCTCTCGTCGTTTCGGTTTAATTGGTCGACGGTTCGAAATGAAATTTCCTCGAGTATCGTCTCGATTCCACGTTTAGTATCGAAAATGAGAAAAATATGGAAAGATGAAAACGAAGAATTCGAATAAAAATGGATCGATCGATTAATCGGTTTAAGGTTAATAATCGAAAGGTTTAACGTTTTTCGTTACGTTTCTCTACGTACGATTTAAAGAGAGCGAGAAAGAGGAGGATACTTTTCCAATACTTATTTTGTTATTGATGTCTGACCTAATTCCTTTTCTGCGTGGCAGCTCAAACGGTTCAAACAGTGTCTAGCAGAAGTTTAAGCTCAGCTATTTTAACCACTTGTCAAAAATAGATACTGCATACTATCCGGGAGAAATGGCGGATTCTGTTATGCGAGCTATTATCCTTCGTGCTTCTTCAGTGTTTATATTTATTCGTTTCGATTTAATAAACTATACGTGTGTATCCATGTATGTGTGTATAGATTTTTTTATACACTGAACGAAGGGATAGACAAACGAAGTGGAAAGAAAGGAAAAGTAAGGGAAAAGTAAGAAAATGAAAATAATAAATGATAGAAAATTTAATTTCTTCGTTGTGAGGTTTCTGGTTTGAAACAAGAAGGTTCTTCCGATCTTTGTCGAGTTTACCAAAATCCAATTATAACTTATAGGAAACCTGGTTAATCGTAAGTCGTGATAAATTGATGTTATTCGAACTATATTCGAGCAACAAAAAGTTTCATGTTCAATTATTTATATTAGTATTTCGATTTCATTAACCAATAAGTTTTTAAAACTTAATTGTTAAAAGTTTAGTAACAATATCAAGATAAATTGAAAAATAAATTTCTTTTTATATTTTTTTAAACAATTAAAATGAAAAAATAATGTCAGATAAAATAACAGAATTATTTTGTTGCATCTTAAAATTTTTCTTTTCTTTATGTTACTTGATACATCTCTTCTAATTGTTGATTATTTTAACAAAAATCTTAATATTTAAAAAAACAACACTAATTTATTATTAATCTTTAAGACATTCATCGATATATCTTAAAATATAAAAAAAATATAACCTCAAAAAAAAAAAAAAATTATGAAAAGAAATATAATTCACGTGATGAATAATATGAAAGTAGAAAATTTTAAATCTCAACTTAGTATTCAATTTCAATTGTAATTTTATTTATTTATTTATAATAGATATAAAAATTTAGAATAATTTATTTAATCAAAAATTATTTTCAATTTAAGAAAAGTGATATTTCATTTTTAGATAAATTAAATATATCATTTCATATCATTTTTTTTTTTCATGTATTTTTTTTCATGATATTTTTCTCATTCATTTTAATATATCTATGCATAAAACACCTTGTATATCATTAACCTGCATTTGTTACGATTGCCTCATACCTCTTCATATCTCTTAAGCACAACTTCTTTAGCAAAATTTATATCTTTTAATATCATCCTTGATAAATATTCGCAATTTCGTTCACGTAAAATTTATTCGTTTCTGTATTCTTATATTATTCTTTTCATCACATATTCTTGAAATTTCTCTCGCACTCACAACATTTATTATCTCTCAAATGTTAATTAATTCCATCGATACTCATCAATTTGTTAAAAAATATTCCAAAAACGAACAATCACATTTTGATTAAAATTCGTGCTGAATTCGTCAATTTAACCTCGTCGTTCCAAACGAAAAAAAAAAAAAAAAAAAGAAATATATAAAAATAGAGAAAAGAAAAAAAAAACGAAAGAGTTACATAATTAATACTAAAACTATATTAAATTTAATTCGTCAAAGGGGAAGACAGGTGAACACGCGATACAACCTTTTACCGGAAATAGATACGTTTTGTTTATTTCTCTGCGGTTTTCCTTCCTGCATACGTCATACGCGAAAAAAGCTTATGCTATATATTAAATTAATCCATCCGTTTTTTGCGTGGAAACCGTATCAACGTTGACCGAGCTTGATAGAAAGTGATTCTTCCTTTCGAAATACGATGGCTGTATGTGCGTCGATTTTACGCGTGACAGACGAAACTCGTCGTAGAGAAATGAAAACAAATACTACGTAGTGCGTAGATAGTTCGATCGAAGTGGCTCGTATACCCGCATTGCCAATACTGTGGCATTAGCTGATAGAGCGAACGCAACGAAGCGAAAAAATGCTTGGGCTCGAAGTCCGATAACTGGTCGGTCGTCATTCACCTTGGAAGCGAATCGGGGCACGTGCTTGTAGGCCGGCTGGCCAGCCAGAGCCAGAGCCAGGGCAAACCAATCGAAGACGAGCACCGATTACGCCTTGCGCCTCTCTATTTACGCGTGCGCTCGGCTCACGCGTGCGTTTCCCCCCTAAATTTTCGCGCTCTTTTAACACAGAGCGAACGTCGAACGATCCACGTTGCGTTACGAGGAAAAACTGGGCCAAGTTCTATGATAAGTTCGAGCGACGAATGAAAACGATCGAAGACGGCGTAGATTCGGAAAACATTGAACAAACGCTATGATAAAGATTTTTATTGACTTTACCTTGACGCGATGCTGTTATACGACAGTATATCATTATGAAATACGCGATATTATGATATATATGATATATATATATATATATATTTGTGTATATTTTGCAAACGAAAATTCACAACATTCAAATCGAAAATTCGTAGATTCGTAGATTATTTCGAAAAGAGTTACGTTAAAATGAGAACGACTGGTGAAATTGGAAATCATTTGTATACCGTTTTAATTAATTATCGAAACGTAGTTACACTTAAATATCGGAATGTAGGCGTAGACATGGACATCTGGTTAGTCGAAGCGAATAGAGCGGGAAAATGAATAATAAAAAAAAAAGCGATCATTTCGATCGATTAATCGGTCAACGGTATAGAGATTGTAGAATTAATTTTTCTTATGGGAATTTATATGGAACGAGGTTTCGCGAATAGGAACATTGAAAGGTGTTAATCGCGATGGATTCGAGTTAATTCGCCCTTGAAATATGTACTAAACGAAGAACAAAACGTTACGTGCGATATACGAATACCTCGTGTAACAGGCCGTTGTAGCAGCCTGGAATCTCGTCTCTGCGAACCAAGATGCGGCGAGTAACTTTTTCGACTAATTCCGGTGACGCGATATATCCGGACGTTAACCCAATTTAAGGTCCCTCCTATTTGAATTCGGGACTGCGCCGGTGCAGAGTGACCCGACCCGGTACGAGGTTTATAGGTCACTCCGGTNTCGATTTTCTAGAAAAAAAATTCGCCGTATCGATTTCGAAATTTCCCCCTTAGCGGCGTAAGAAGAAGAAGAAGAAAAAAAAATCAACAACAACAACAACAATCGAATCGCGTTGTGCTCGAGGAACAGCACAAGAAAATCGATAAAAAAGTTATTAAGCTTGTGGAGACCGGTTGCGTTACACAAGCTCGCAACTTATGTAATAAAATACGGCAAACTGCAACGGGCGGGCGAGCCTGCAGCGCGACTGCCAGCGGAGAGGGTGTTGCGCGAGAGACCATCCGGTATCGAACCGTTCGTTTCGCGCTCCTGGTGCATTGGTAGCTGGAACAAGAACGATATTATTATTATTCTGTATCTTTCTTATTCTTCCCGTAGTTTTTTTTTTTTTTTTTTTAATCTTCTTGAAACTTGGTAATTTTAGCCGTATATTTAAATTTCCTCGTAAATATGTGCCGAGTAAAGCGATCGTTCGTTGCTCGTGGCAACAAAATGCAATTAAATAGGAATTGGCCAACAAGGATACGTTACGATAGTCGGCCAGGATGGAGCGACTTTATCTATTTCCGCCCTTCCGTCGCCATCAATTCCCTTGCCTCCCCACCCATTTTTCCTCTCCGTTTTCCTTCCTCCACTTTCGTCATCCCTCTCTCTCTCTCTCTATCTCTCTCCCTCTCGAAACTCTCTGTTCCTTGGCATACCCCGGCTCGCCTCTGCCGTATCGTGCCGCGTTGTGCCACGCGACCGCGTTGTGTGCCGCACCTCTCTCGGTTTAGCCTGTTTCCACCAACGGTGACCCAGTTCGCGGCTGGAATCGTTTCTTCCGCACACGCCTCGGGATCCAGGTTACACCGAGGTGCCTCTGCGCCCGGCTTTCATACCCTCCTCCTCCTCCTCTTTCCACCTTGCCACGCAACATCTTGGTTACCAGCATCGATATCTCTCTCTCTCTCTCTTTCTCTCTACATTTCGACACTTTTGTTCATTCGATACGATCTTTCTTTCTCTCTCTCTCTTTTTTAGTTATCTTTAATGCGACAAAAAACGATAATTGCTCACGCGAGATCGAATATACCGAATATGAGTATGCGCAAGAAAGATGGGATATAACTGGCGTTGGTTATTCGAGGGGAAGCAAGAACGAACGCGTTTTAGAGAAGAGGAGACGAGTCACGCGTCTGGTTTCGCTGGTTGAAAGAAAAAGAGACCGGATGAGTACAAAACGCGCGTAGAACAACGGTCGAGGAACACGGTCGTGTCTAGACCGGCGGGTTGCGCGGAAATGGCGGAGGCGAAGATGGATACGCGCGTTTGAATACGTGCACGCGTGTATGAGCACTCGCTAACAATCCCTTTCACGCCCCCTCTCCTTTTGTGTCTTTCTCTTCGCCCCCTGCGTAAACTCTTTCTCTTCTCTCCTCCCGAAAATTCCCCGCTCAAGAGACGCCGCCACGTCGTCGTGGTAATCATCCTTGCATCGTCCTTGCTCGACGCGACGACAACACGGCTTTGTTTCGTCTTGCGGGTGTTCCTTGCTTTCGAAAAAGAATAAAGAAAAAAAAAACAAGAGAAATCAGTGAAACTTATTCATCAGTCGAATCGAATCGGCGGTCTCATTGACGAATAATCGAATTCAATCAAAAGAGTAAAAGTTTGTATAATAACGAGGGAATGACGTAGTTTTCCGCGAGTCGGAATCGTAGTCGAAAGTAGGTCATCGTTGGTTGACGAGTGGTTGCCATAATATAGCGGCAGAATCCTAGTTCCTTTTTTTTTCCCTCCCCCATTCTGCAACAATTCCGATTCCGTAACTATTCTCCTTATCCTATTTCTGTTGTTTACGCAAAAATGATGATTCAAAAAAATAATATTTTTTAATCTTAGTTTTTGACAACAGATCAAAGAGAATATTAAAATAGGTATACAACTTTTCATCGTTAATTTTTCCAATTTCTTTCCCTTATACTATTATTTTATTATCTATTAAAAATATAAATATGACATACCTTCAAGCATATCTTTTATACCGTAAACTCTTTTGAAACAATCGAACGAAACCGCGTAACCGAAAAGTGGATACACAGAACGGACAGTCGCGAGAAAAAGGAGGATTGTTTGGATAAATGAATAAGGTTAATAAAGTTAAAAGAAAGATAGTAGAAAGAATTGAAATAGGGGGGGGGTGATACTGTGATGGAGCCTGCATAGAGACAGAGAAAGAGAGAGATTGCTGTCGACGCCCTGCCGTCGCTTCCTGGTTTCCCTATATTGATTTTCTAGTGTGCCTTCTGCTAGACGGAAATGGAGCACCACACCGAGAGAGAGAGAGAGAGAGAGAGAGAGAGAGAGAGAGAGAGAGAGAG